ATCATTCTTTTTCCAATCAAATATAAACACATGCTCATTGATACAAAAGTGAATAATAATATTGGAATTTTTTTCTAATCAAACAAGTATGTAAATAATATTCAAGATATTATGACAAAGATGCAAAAATGACGTGCAAGATAAATCACCGAGATCCAATCTCTAATATACCAATTGCGAAGAAAGCATCAGATCAAAGCTAACGTAAAAAAATCGAGTCGCACATTAACCCTCCTTCACACGGAAGTTGACATAAGGTCAATGTGGAGTTTTAATCTCGTAGTGTATCATGCTAGGCGGCAATCTCCATGTGTTAAATTTAAATAGATTCAAGACAGGATTAATGAAGTAATCTTCATAATGAAATAATACTGTATTAATTATTTAAAATCATTCTCATCATGCAACATGCGATTTATACACCCCTGCAAAAAATTCTGAAAAATATTTATTTCAATCACGGATATATCAATATGCTGTTTTTTTAATTATAGCGATCTTCGGGTATATATTGAGAATATTCAACCAGTATTTAATTTCATTCAACATGTATTTAATTAAATGAATTTCTTTATGTATATGTATTGCCATGTAGATGTATGGAATAGAATTAGTCAATCATGAATGAAGCCAAAAAAAACAATTCCGAAATTACCTCCTAGAGTGTACAATGAGGCAAGCCACCATAAAATATGGTGCAGGCTCCAAACTGGATCAACAACTGACTGTGGCAGCTCCAGGGATAATTTTGTCTGACAAAATAAGACCGTGTAATTACATTTGTACGCAATGTTTCAATTCTTGCAACAATTAATTGTCATGGGGTGTTAATTATTTATCCAACCAGACCAAGAGAGGGACATTTGTTCTTACACGAAAAAACACGAAATCTTCGACCAAAACCAAAAAAACAACAACTGATGAATCAACAAAAAAATGGTATTATCTAACATTTATTAGCCCCGCAGTCTTGGCCCCTCAGAATCATAGAAAAGTAAGTCACCTAGTTACATTTTAAGAGAATGCCATTGAAATAAATGGGTCGTGTCAAAGATAAAGGGAATAAGAAGAATGTATTTGTTGTGCCCCCAAAAGACGTAACAGTACAACTAAACCTACAAATGTGTACCAGCTTCAGCATGCAAGAAAATCATTTTGTAACTTTCAAAAAACCCTAGACGCTTACATATTGAGTGTCAAATATAGAATCCTTTGAATTTCCCGTGATACAAACCAATATTTTTAAGGTAGTTTAGAGAATAAATGACCAAGTAAATGCATGATATGGTTCCCGAAGGGTAACTCATGGCATCCACAGTGCGACTCATTTTTACAAATAACTGTCAATCACATAACATGTTCCTGCATCTCTCAAAAAATTGCATTTCCAATTTAAAATCCTGTTTTAATTTCTTTAGTTCTTAAAAGACTTCATAACTCCTTAAGATTTACATAATTTCAGTAAACAACATCCTTGCCACTGCCAACACTAGGAACAGACACACATTTGGGATATGACAAATGTTAGGCCATTATTTTAATAATATACAAAGTTTTGATTAAAGACTTCATCTGAGTGCACTAACATTTCCAGACTATTCCAAGCAGCCATTACAAAAATATGCTACATCCCACAAAGATGAAAAATTATAAAGATATGAACAAGAAGTCCCCAAATAGTCATAAAGGAAAATGAGGAGTAGTCAATTTATCTTAATTTACGGATGCTTTCCATAACCGTCTTGGAACAAATCACTCTTCCTATGTTATCTTTACCCATTCCAACTCAGTTGACATCAAGTTTAAATTCAGCCTTCCCAAATCGTTAGACGGTCAGGTTTTAAATCACAAAATTTAGTAAAAAACAGAGGAAATTTTAAGAAATCACATAGACTGGCATAATGTCCATACTTAAAATTGTAAAGAAATGTAAACATCTGAACCAGTTCTTCCAATATTAATGGATTTATCACGAAAAGAAACAAACTTCTGAAAATTCCGTCTGCAAGGTTGTATAATTAATTGATGATTCGCAATCCCAAGTTTGTAATTTCACATATGAGGGAATTATCCCAATGAGATATAACACTGATATCTCGTCATCTTTGACCTGTGGAAATGTATCCCGCAACTCCTAGTTATAACCCGTTCAGTTTTCAAATAACCTTTGTGAGGCTTGTCATGAATTCAGCTACAGAAAATTGGTCTGTCCCAAAAAAGTAATTTATTTTGTCATTTTTGAAACATTTATAGAGGATATATTGATAGAAATTCTGACGTAATTTAGAGCAGAATCGATGGCTATTTGCTGTAATCATCTTCTGAAAAATGGGATATGAATAAAAATGTAGTTTATATCCGCTTGGAAAAAAGATCCCAAAAATAACATTCCTTCTACCAATAATTCAATACATCACAATATTTAACAGTTTTAATCCTCTAATAATTGCGGCTAATTTGATTAAATAATGGCCCGAGAACATGTTTAATTCATTCAGGAAATAGTTGCCTAATCTGACTTGAAGATTAGAAGCAGCTGAAATATAGTTTTGTTAGTATAATTTCATTAGTCGGACATGTGTTTTTCAATTTCACCGGATCGACCCGGGTAATTTACAACGTGTAAACGGGTCGAATAGACCGATCAGGGGTGAGACTTTCCCATCATGCATGTAAATTGCTCATATTGCTCCGAGCAAAGGTGTCTCGTTTATTTACTTTAGTGATTTGTTCTTCCCGATTCTAATAAGATTCACCCGTCTTTTAGTATAGTAGAGACACTGTGAATTAGATTAGTTGATTAGTTCTTCGGCTTATAGCCTTCTAATAGCAGAAACTTGTAACACAAAGGAGTTAGATGTTCTACATGATTTTACACAATTCTATTGTCTATTGATTCCCAACCCGTGACTAACTTTTTCTTGGGTCATGTCGATTCCTCGCTTTTTCACTCTAAAATTTGAATGGTTTCTAGACAAGTCATCCCAAGACAAGTCATCCCAAGACAACTCATCCCTAAGACAACTCATCCCAAGACAACTCATCCCAAGACATCTCATCCCAAGACAACTCATCCCAAGACATCTCATCCCAAGACATCTCATCCAAAGACAACTCATCCCACTTGTATAATTGATAAATTATTTTGTCCTCTATATTATATATCCCTTTTTCATTTTTATGATTACAAAGTGAATTTTGATTACACACTCAATTTTTAATACTGATTTTTAGCATTTTGAAATGGCACTTGAAAGTTATGTTTTACTTATAAGTACTGCCGCTATTTTGATGAATTCTGGGTTTTTCTAAATACATTTGAGAATATAGGATTGAACATAAAAGTCATAGACATTATTTCCAAATTTAATCATCATAAATCTGAAAGTTTGTAATTGGCAATCTTATTTAGGATTAAGCCAAAATATTTTAAAACAAAGACTGAATTAATCTGAGAGAATTATTCTGATAGCACCTTGGATAATACATTCTAACTGAGTTAATCCTACACCTTTGATGATCTTTGATTTAATATCAAAGTATATATTAAATTTGAACATGTTTATCTTTATCCCAATCAGTCAACAAAAATTAACTAAAACTAGGCTAACTAACTACAAAATACAAAAATATTAAGTACATACAGCATGACAAAATATGAAATGTGTCAGTTTAAAATACAGCATGAAAAATGTATTAATAAAAAACAAAGATATTCCATGACCAGTGTGCCAACTGCTAAAATCTCTAAATATTTTTCATTCTTTCAAAATGAAAATTAATTGTATAAAATTATGTTTTATTTCAAGTTGGGAAGAGTTGTCTTGGGGATGAGTTGTCTTGGGATGAGATGTCTTGGGATGAGATGTCTTGGGATGAGTTGTCTTGGGATGAGATGTCTTGGGATGAGTTGTCTTGGGATGAGATGTCTTAGGGATGACTTGTCTTGGGATGAGTTGTCTTAGGGATGAGTTGTCCTGTTACCAATTTGAATAAGATGTATCATTTTCTTGCACTTTTGTACAATTTAGTATCTTAAGTGTATGCCTGTTTACATTATTCTTTAATGATTCCATTATTTTCTAATCTATCTGTTATTTTAATATGTGACTTTAGTTCAATTTTTGGGGGGTTGGGGTCATAATGAAAAAATGAAGACATATGGGTCCACGCAAGATGCAACCAAACGTTCATTATCCTTTAGCAGGAATCTAACACTAATGCCGCCTTTGTAGTTTGGTTTTAGGATTTAGAATAAAGAATATATTATTTTAATTAGTTTCCAAACAGTTAGCACATCTCTAATGAGACTTTATGGCATGTTAAGAGTATTTAAGACACAGTGTAAATATATTATTTTGATTTAAGTGAGGTCTGAAATTTTAGATATAATTCTGTGCAGAAGGTAAAGTATTCTAGGGTCTCTCGGCTATATTTGAGGAATGACCAATACTTTTGATTGTTTATCACACTGTTATATTCTCTTCTCTCTGATTGGCCAATGTTGTGCCACATGATCAACGATATGAACCCATCCTATTCACGATGGTCAAATATTCAATATGAGATATAATACATCATTATATTAGAACTGGTAATATCTTTGTCCAATCAGAGATCAGAAATCTATCACCACAATAATGAATTATAGAAATATATTTGTTAAATTTCATGACAATGAAAATGTCAGGACTCGAATAAATGGTAGTGTAAAAGTACAAGATGGATACATATCAAATCAATATATGTTCATGATTTAGTTTTTGGGGGTTTTGGTGTGCTTCATATTTTTGTGCTTTCAATGTTGCCTCCTGTGATTTCTTATAACCACTGGGAATTAAAAATATGGATGTTTTAGTTTCCAAAAATCCAGGTATTATTCAAGACCAAATTATTAGTACTCTAAAAATCCACGCCATGCATCAGTCTGATTGGCTAATATGGTTAATAAGATGCACACCTCAATCAGACAGAAATTGACCATATAAGGCAATATGTACCTGGGTTAATTCCTAATAAGGACACTGAAAATCAGATATCAAAATAAAATACTGTTTTTAATCTTTTATTTTTCTGACTAGATATCCTATTGGGAACATAAATGTCACGTAAACTAAAATTTTAAATATAACTTATATGATTTGTGAAAAGCATACGATTGGCAATGATGCTGTATACTGCTTTAACAGCTATTTCTCTTAATTTTCCAAAACTGTAGCAATCATTGGTACAGAATGACTAGATTTATGTATTGAATTTATAAAAATCTATAGTTTTTCCCCATTAATATGAATGCTAACTACATAAGGGAGAACTGTTCTTACAACTGCCAAACAATAAAGGGTTCATTTATGTTTTATGTTTTTCAAATGAGTCAATTGTGCTTTAGTTCTCGTTTCCATTACTATGCATCAGTGGTGCCACCTGGATTTGAATCATCCAATGAGAGATGAATAATTTCAAAATGGCCGCCACTTTGATGGTGGCTTAGTTTCTTTCTTGATCCAAAAGACCAATTTTTAACAGTTCCAAAGAAATCATCTTGGGTTGATGATCGTACCATTTCAAAATGAGGAACTTTGGGAGAAACTTCAGGAATTGAATCAAGGTGATCGCAAGATTTTGATTTTGAATCAGAAATATCTTGAGATGCATAGTGAGGCTGATAGGGCTTACGTTGCGCTTTTGACGAAGCGGAGTTCTTCAGATACATCTTCGCTTTCTTCCCACTGTAGTCTCGTATGTTCGGGTCTGCTTCTAAAACAGACAAATATAAAAAGAATTAGTAAGATCTTAGATATACATGTAAATTCCTTTAGCAATCCTATTTTTTTAGTTGTTAATTCTGTGACAAATTATTACTCATTTTTGAAGCATCATCCTTGTCCAATGTATAATATGGTCAACAGCGACTGTACAGTGGCCATGGCTTGACAAATCGATATAGAAAACCTATATTATACTTCTTATCCCTATATTTTATGTTGCATATTTCTCTCAATTTTGGTAAGCTATGGCCACCACACAGTTGCTGTAAATCAAATGTGACTGAGACATTAAACAGGCCCGTAGCCAGGGGGGGGGGGGGGGGGGTTCGCAGGCCCCCTGGCCAAAAATTCTTTCAAAACCATGCAGTTTTTCACCATTTTTGAGCACTTTTCAAGTGATTTTAGCCATATTTGGGCCAAAATTGTCAAATGTGAACCCCGCTGGAAAATTTTGAACACTAACCCCCCCTTGGCAAATCCTGGCTACGGGGCTGTTAACAATATAGATTGATAGAAATATTGAATCTTCTTTGTTTTCTTTAGTTCTTAATGAAAGTTATCTATTCATATTGAATAATGTGTTAATGTGTAAAGATGTGCTACCATAAATAATATTGAATATGATTTCTTTGAATAAAAATGTTTCTAATTTGTTTTTCGAACAACTAAATTAGACCTGATACATAGAAATCAAAGCTGGATCAACAGGTGTAGACTGTCAGGTGCTGACCCCATGTGGCCAAAAACTGAACTAACACAGGTAAACATTTTCAAGTCAATTCATTGAGAGTTTTACATGAGATATTACATGACAAAAAACAGTATGAAAAACTTTAAGAAGGACTCAATCTATAAATTACATAATTTGTGAATGAGGAATCAATCTAAAATATACACATCATCTACATCTTTGTATATTGTACTCATTTTATTTTTGTCAACTCTCACTAATCCTTGCCTCAAAACATTGATGAATCATTAATGAGAATAAATGACATTTACGATGTAACATTAGAGTGACACTCAATGTATACAAACACAACATTGTACATAATAGACTTGCTACATAAATTGTGGTTTGTTAACATAACACAGGCATTTGTCATTACATAATAACAGGAAGAATTGGCGCCCCTTCTGACATAGAATGGGCATTGAGAAGTCAAATCTGATTTAAACTATTGCTGATATGCCATTGTTTTTTACACGAAAAACTCTAATGGGGTGTTACAGCACATCCAAGCACCAAAATAAATAAAATATTTTCGGTGTCATTTCAGACACTGCAATGATCTTCTCATATCAACCAGGTGCTGCACCCACTTGAGAATATGAAAATGATCACCCAGTTGAAAATCAAATTGAAAAGTCATGAAAATTTGTTTGAAATGCTTTAGACATTTTGTCAATCAAGGCAACGGTCAAACTATGAATCAGTTATATGGTACTGACAAGAAATGATAAAATCATCTGGAACAGGCCAACATGAGTCTATTAGTTCACAAACATGCAAACAATTTGTATTTTTCAACTGCAATGTTGTCATTACCGACCACTGGGTATTATTACATATCAAGATAAGATTGACACCGCCATGGGAAAGGGGTTTGATCAAGTTCTCAAATATTTTGTATTTTTCAAATGTTGCAACATGTGCTATCTGATGATGACTTTATAGATGAAGATATGTTCATTATCAAGGTATTCACTATTCATCCACGATATACCAGGCAATGAACTATTCAGCAAATCTAAACAGAACTAAATTGTAGATAGCACCAATTGGGGACGTATGTTGTCTACCCTCTCACCAATCAAAGTTACTCCATTTTCAATGATGATTCTGTCTTTTTAAATCCATGGCCAGAAATTGTACAAAATAAATAATTAGGATTACAAGTATTCAGCCACCTTTGGATATCTTAAGTTTGGTTAAAATGTTAGTTTTGGACATAGTAAATAGTATACATGTACATATATTAATTGTTTAGTTTAGGTCATATATCTACATGTACCTTGGATGCCCCTAGCAGTAATATGTCAAAGGGTATGTGTAATGTGCTAGTTTATCATTGTTTTATAGTCACTCGTACATACTGACATGTGTAGGCCAGGAAAACAAGTGTCTTGACAAATGATGACGGCATAAAACATCAATAGCCATACTAAAAATGTCACTATGGCAATGCAAAGTCACACCGTTTCTCTCTTATATATGAATAAAATGTCCAATTTTCTTGTGTTTCGAGGCAATATAGAGCATCTACTACATGACTGGTTACTTTATTCCTTGCTGATTCCACTCTTTTTGGATCTAGTTTGAACTTAAAAATATCACCATGGTGACATATTTTCTCAACTGATAGCCTCACCTTCATGTCCCCCTAAGACAAAAGGGACAGCTCATATTTCTGTCAAAAGTCACAAATGGCAACATTTGATAACAACTACCAGAAAATCTGGCATTACTCAAACAATACCACTGTTAATGAAATATAAAACCAACCATCAGAACCAATACAAGTCTTGTTGATCACTTAAAATACTGTGTTCAAACCCCTTCAATCAATTGATAATGAACGCAGGGTTACCGTTACTGATCATTCTATGAATCAAATCAATGGTGATACAGTTCCCATCAAAATACATATTTAGCTCGCAATATTAGCAGCCGTGGGGATGTATGATTGTTACATAAACTACATATGTTAACCAGGCAGTTGCGTCAACCCTCATAACCACATGCTATGTCGAAATATACTAATTTAGACATAGCTCGGCCCAGAATTCACAACAGAATTCAGTCTTTTTGTGTATGATGTCATTGGTTGTGCTTTATCTTAGAAGGAACTAGAGACTTGAGTGCCCTGAATATATATAGTGATCTAGGGGTGGTTTGTGTTTTGAAATGTTTCTCTTTGTTCAATCACATGGCAAATAAAGTTAGGACCTACTCCAGAAATGTTTTTCTAAAATGTACATGAAGTGCTATTAGTAAAATACATGGGTATTTACATATTCGTATATAAGGCTACAAACATTCCTTACATTCTAAACCATCAAACACACTCCCAGATGTTACTACAGTCCAAACATGTATAAGTTATTTCCACCAAAAAGAGACATATCCAAAATAGATGGATGTAACAAATTTAGAAATACTAGAAATAAAGCATTGACATACAAAATGTCAGCACCTGTCATTTGTTACAGATGCCAAACTCCAACTACCGAACACCATCCACAAAAAAGATGGAGACTTTAACAATATTTCACCACTTTCTGTTGGTGACAAAAAATGCATACAACATAAAATGATCATCCAGAAAATGTTTGAAGGTGATTTCACAAACAACAATCAATTATATTTCATTTTAAAATAACAGTCATTAAATTTAACTTGGGGCACATACAGCAGCCTGACTATCTGTTAAAATTAATAGTTAACATATAGTTAACAACATTTGAAAATATACAACATGAAAATGATGTAACTGCCATTGAAAAATAAATGACAGTAATAAAATTGTATTACATTAATCAAAACAATGTTAATAAATTGGAGTTTATTACTTTGACATACATTTACGCAATGTATAATGTAATTAAATTAAATGTTCTGTTCTACCTACATGTATAACCTTGAAATAGTATTGTTTTGTTTAATGTTTATTGTGAATACTTTTACAATGAGATATTCCTTTATTGTATGGTAGCACCTCAAAGTGAACACCTCTAAAATTTGAACAACTTTAAATGTAATCACCCTAAAGAATGAACATCCCTGAAGTGTTAAAGTGAGTGTTAAAGGCCATATGTAAAGTTTAAACCACTTTGGTTTGCATGGGGCCTTTAACAGCTCTTAACGAAAACATATAATGAAATCCTGTCAGTCTACCATGGTGGGAATCGAACCATTGATCCCTTGCTTTAGGACAAAACTCATAAAAAATCCAATTCAATTTAAGTCTACTAATATACAGCCCATGAGATACTCCCTTTAACATTACTAGCACCATTTGAGACATATTCAAGGTGAAAGCTGTATATTAAGACTACATGAGAAAATGACGAAATTGTCAACTTACGGTAAGTCTGGACTAGAAGTTCTATGATATTTTCATGGCCATGCTGGGCAGCCAAGTGAAGTGGTGTATACCCCTGGAAAAAAGACACACATTGGTAAATGTTCTGCAAAAATTCTCCCTCATTATATGCAAAGACACATGTTACATGTTAAAAACATTAAGAAACTAAATTCTTATTTAGTGCTTTGGTTTAAACCTGTAAACATTTTTAAAAAATTAATTATTTGAACTGGACTTTATATAGTCACATATCCGTTTAAACTTCTCCCAAAGTTTAACTATTTTTAAGAAAATTCTCACAATTTTCTCTTTTTTTTCGCATCACACCCCTCATATGATTCAATTCATGAGTGGCCAACCGATGACATTTTATTTGACGTGATGCAATAAACTATTCGACCCCATCTGTTCCATGAGTGATGATCTCTCTTTAGATCTTGAGTGCCGATATAGCGTCACGCACGACCATATTAGGAAAACCTATCGAACAGATCTTAATGAGGGGCAGAAATAATGGTGTTTCAATCAAGATTAATTGACCAACTTATTGAATAGATTTTGAAAATGATGAATAACATTTTAAATGAAATAACCAATTAGTTTGGTCCAGAGATATTATGACAAAATTGAGGATATTGTTTCATTGAAAACAATTCACATTTCAAATAAATGAAAGTACAAGGTACCAAAGCTCAGAAATATTTTTGCAGGCCCAGTTTTTTACCATTAGAAGCACCTTTCAAGTGATTTTGGGCATTTTTGGGCCAACATTGTCAAAAGTGAGCCCCCTTAAGAAATCCTGGCTACGGGCCTGTTTTGATTGTAAGCTTTCGATTTCACCAGAAAACTGAATAATAGAAATATAGAATGATTCAAGAACAATAGGGGATCTATTACATTGCAATATTTGCAATAAAGGATACCATCGATAAGTCCTATCCCCTTCTCTTTATACTACAATTTATTCCCATGTACATATATTTATGAATTGAGGGTCAATTAAATGTGGCTAAATATACATGTAGCTATCAACAACCACTGTTGGGCATTGTATAACAGAACATATCTTAGGACACAATCATTAACATACAAATTTAATTATTATCTTAATTACTGGTGATTATATATTGTCTACATATACCAACACCTCTTACATGTACATGTATGCTGCAATTAAAATTGTATTTCAATACAGCGAAACTTGTTAAGTGGAACATCTCTAGATGTGGAACACTTTTCAGAGTCTCAAGACCAACTGATTTAATGCTAAATGAACCTCTATAAGTGGAACACCTCCCAAGTGGAAACATTTTAGAGGTACAAAATATGTTCTACTTTGACAGGTTTTACTGTATGATCCATCAATAGTCTACAAAGCGATTTCTTGTTTTCATGAGGAAAATGGATACGAGAATTTTGACCACCTAAGTGCCACTTCTTTGCTTCATTTGATAAAATAAGGAGAAAGTGACTATTTTCAGACTTGTGAATTTTTTACAGAAAATTAGGTACAAAAAGGTCATCATTCATTTAGGCTGTATCAGAATTTACTAATTGAGCATTCATTATGTCAAAACATAACATAACCAGCTTCTAGGTATAAAGTTATATAAACTATATGTAAATGACTTAATTAAACAGCCCAGTTATGTTATTGCTATGTTAAAGGCCATATGTGACATAGCAAGGTTTGTTATGTTCAATCAAAATATGTTAAAATGAATGTCAACACAGAATCCCTGAAAAAACTCATGTTCCTTATTTGGACATTCAATCTCTCCTTAAAATGTCATACTTTTGGAGATTTAATACTCATGTTTTGACCAATGTTGTAAGACTTCAACATTATCTTCTCATCATGAATGAAACATATGATGATCAATTAATATACATGTCCATGTATATATAGCATATTATGTATATACATGCATATGTATATATGTTCTTATATAACACATGTCAGATGATTCATTACTCACCAATGTCAATCAAACATATTTTGGAACATGGTTTTCTACATTCAATATTGCACAAATTGATGTGAACTGAATAAACCCTTTTCTATCTCCATTAGTTTTGGTAAGTGATGTCACAATGGTATGCATGTGTGAAGTCACACTGGTGTATATGGGAGATGTCAAACTGGTTATGTACTAGTATATGTGATGTCACAATGGTGTGCATGGATGATGTCACACTGGAGTGCATGGATGATGCCACAATGGTATGATAAGATAATGTCACATTGACATATATGTGCAAAGTCACACTGGTGTATATTCAATTTGGTGATGTGAAACCTGTTATGTATATGCAGTGCACTGATGTGCATGGAGGATGTTTCAACGGTGTGCATGGATGATGTCACAATGGTGTGTATGTGTGATGTCTCACTACTATATATGGGTGATGTCATAAAAGTATGCATGGGTAATGTTACATTGATATGCATGTGTGATATCATGAATGATGTCACATTGATATGTATGTGGACATGCTAATGAAGTGCATGGATGATGTCACAATGATATGTATGTGCAATGTCACACTGGTGTGTATGAGTGATGTCAAACCTGCTTTGTATATGTGGTGTCACATTGACATGCATGGTTGATGATCTCATGAAGGGAGGAAACTAGGTGACATACATTTCAGTGAATTTCGCCACCATTATCCCACGTGGATGATTCTCCAATATTGCAAACATAAATAGGACTAAACCTCTCTAGATATTTTCCATCAAAACTCATAAAGAGAATATTGATTTCTAAAAAAGAATGAACATTGCCCCCTGAAAATTAAATTCTTGACGCTTACTTTCCGATGATACATATTTAAGGTATTTCCGCCAGCTAATGAGCAATCCCAATCACGTGTTTATGTAAGAGTTGAGTTCGAACATATACAATACATGTCACAAGACATAACGAGTAATTAACAATTAAAACCATGTTACTTCAACTTGTGATTGGACATTACAATTAAGTTCACACATTATCAAGGCCAAAACATTTCAATATACATGAACAATGTAATTAACGATATGACAAGGGGCTGTTTTGGAATATTGTGATGTAATATTTGGTTATGGGGGATGTGGGAGCGAATATTATTTCCGAAGATATAGAATGGACTATTTTGGAAAAAAATCCAATTGTTAGAATAAAACGAAAATCCCCAGCCCTCCTTATTTTGACACATCATGACGTAAGCTTAGGAGCTTCACATTGATCACATGGAGAAGATGATGGCCAGATCTCCTTCATTCACGTCTATGGATCATCTGATCATTTTGATCATCTGCTCTCACTTGATTATCTACCATGATCTCCTTTTATCACTTAAGAACATGAAAGGTTCAAAGAGCAAAATATTTTTGTATTATTTTGACCCTGATTGATGGTGCCATCTATCATCTCTAAATTGTACTAGATATCAAATGTTTCTGATGAGATCATAAACCATAACATAGTGTTTCTATCTAAAAAGAAGGTAAATAGTTTATTTACATATGAAGAGTTGTCAAGTGAAAAAATGAGGCTTTTAAATTGCACGTTTTAGTTTTGATTTTTCAAGTGAATTATATCACCAAAAAGACCAAGGGGTTAAAGAAATTTCACTTGGATTTGGTCACTGGGTATAAGCACTATAATGTTCTTTCCCTAAATCATATCAAATAAACATAACATCCATACATCATACCTGGCATTTATATGTTCAATCCGTTCTCTGGTATAGAGACAGTTCAATATTTAAGACATATAGGTGGTATAACTGAAGGCCCCGGGTGCCATGTCAAATCCCCATGTCTGACGATGATTTTTGACAGAATTACAGATAAAGCGCAGTCTGGTTGTAACATATAGCCTTATTAACTGAACTAATGTCAGATTTTATAAGTACATGTTGAGAGCATCTGAAATATTTGGAGCGAGGTTCCCCCTAACTAGCATCATACAAGATGTTTGGAGGATTATGAGGCCAATTTAGCTGTTTTACTGAAGTGGAAGCAGACAGCGATCCGATTGTTATGTTTCAGTGTGCTTAAGAACTTCATTTGTATTTTCAAATATTTGGTGATTTTTGATTTTTTTCCATGTTCTTGTGCAAAATTGTTTGTCTTGTTTAAAGATGTATGTAATATCTCCAAAAAACTATGGTACAATGAAAAGAGAAAAAATATATGTCAGTTATCCCAGTCGTCTCCTTAAAATCAGGAATTTGAAATTCAAGAAATCAGCAATGGATTGCAAAAACCCTTATACATGTATTAGACTAAGTATTATTCTCGTCCAAATAATAGGCAAAATGTATTGGGTGGCAAATGTTTAAATTGCAAGTTAAAGTGAAAAAGAGTAAATTAGCAAGAAATAAAGTAAACAGGCATGTAGTAAACACTCTAAATTGTATAGAAATTTGAGAAAATTTGACACTTCATTCAAATTTTGGAGAGAAATAGCACAAAATAAAAGCATGAGCAGTAGGACATTGCATTTCTGGGTATACACGGTTATTGAGTACATCATCCCAGTTTCACTTTTAATTCTACCTGTTGGTGAATTTAAACATTTTCTATCGCAGTTTTCAATTCATCAAAGCTAACATCCTGGTATCTCATGGATCAGAACATCGTCTTTGCATGTCGTTTGAAATTTGAAAAAATCAATGTGACAAGAGGCGTAGAATCTGTCATTAATCTTCGTAGTGGAGTTATGGCAATTTGAACAGGTTTTCTGAACAATTAAAAATAAACTGTCGTAATAGCATGCTAAAATGTAATAAATCTGTAGTTTAACCAGACTATGAGACCTTGTTTTAGAACTAATAGAAACTTCTTTTTTTTGTTAATACTTAATCATTATTTTATTGGTTTCTTATAGCCCATCATCTGTGCATTTGTTACATTGTAACAGGATATCAAATCAAGACTGATATTAAATTTTTCTCACCATTGAGTTCAGGACTCGGAGAGATATGTGGTTGTTTTTTGAGAACAGGTCATGTTACATGTAATGGTCATTATTTAGTACGTAATCAATACTGTAAAATCCCAAATTTTCAAGGAGCCCTAATTTTCACTATTTTCGCTGAAGAGGCTAGACTGAAATTTAAGGCACAGTAAAAATTTGATTTAAAATTAAATTCAATTGGATATTTCTTCAAACAGTGGAATTTAATGCCCATGAAACATTTCAGATTGACAAAATAGTGAATTTTTTGTCAGCAAAAATTTGAGCTTTTACAGTATATAGAACTGCATTTAAATGCAAGAACCCCTTGACAGTTAAAATGGAACAGATTGTCAATTCTATTCAATTCTATTATAACTTATAGTTGCACAAATCTAAGATACATTTGCATATAAGTGAATCAAGGGGAACATACGCAATTTAGTGAGCTGAAACATTCACCCTTAGTTTTTTATTTACGATATTATACAGACATAATGATCACAATGCGAAACGTGTGACATAATTAGCGAAGACTGATAGTGTCAAAGAAGACATCTTTGTTTAAAACAATTACCATAGAAATCCAATCTATTATAATCCTACTACAATATAGCAAGTTGGCAACCCATATTCTCAGAACATTTCAAAAACTTTTTTTTATCTTGTGTTCATTATCAAATCCCATCAAATACAACTGACAAAGGGAATATATTTTGAGCTCTCAATGACGTTTGGATCTAGATAGCCCACAGTATGAAAGTATCCCACAATATTTCAAATTGCACATTACAAGCACAGGTGTTAAAGGCATTTGAAAAAATAATTATACCCCTATCAATAAATTATATATCAAACATTATTCTTTATATTTAGGCAATTCATAATCATGGATTGAAATAGGGGTTCATAGAAGTGGGCTATTGTACATTAAATGGGACTGCATTCTCTGGAAAATGCAATTATTTCATGGATACTGTACATGTAGAGGGGACTTTTGTTTGTTCATAAAAAGTACATAAACCTATTAGCCTTTCTAAAGACTTATACCACACTTGATTTCTAAGTTAATGTATGACCTGTTTACTTGAAATCTCCACATAAACATAAATGAGCAATGAAATGTGATAATATGGATCATCTATGATAAATGATACATACCCCATACTGTAACAGTGTGCAGCATTCCAGAGAACAGCATGATGGGGAACAGCATTATGTCCAGGACAGCAACAGCACAGCATTTGAAAAACAAAAAGAAATGCATAAGTATATCTAACCGTTTTTTTGGAGGGCAACCATGAACTGAGAGTTTAATAAAAGTTAGAGCAATCCCATGCAAAATGTTGGCCATTTGGATTTGACTACAGGTATTTGAGTTATCATCTAGAGAGGTGTACAGATGAACAAACGGACAGACAAATATAACAGCCATTGATCACAATGAGACACCAACAATGGAATAAAAATTCAAATAATTTACTATGATCACTATGAGACACCAATAATGAAATAAAAATTCAAATAATTTACTATGATCACTATGAGACACCAACAATGAAATAAAAATTCAAATAATTTACTCAGGATTGAAAGATAGAAGTCAGTTAACAGGACTGATCTCTGTCTTTGATCGAGTTTAAGATACCACTTTGAAAGCTAAGACATCACTTTCATTTCCCACAATGCATCAATACCCGTCCATTGGCGACAATCTAACCTTGCAGTCGACTTTTGATTTTTGGATGAATTGAACTTAAACGATATTAAAAATTCAATCAGTGAAGCCAGTGATCCATTTTCCTTTTTTCATATTCAAAAGTTTTTCCCTGATATATCATAACGCTCATTTCATATTTTTTCATAGCGAATTGGTGAAAAGTGTTTGTTTACAGCAAGGGCGATTGGAGCATAGCAATCATCATTAGAACTGTTGGTGTATAAAAAGAAGCGTCATTAGACGTCGGAGATTATACTCTACCATCTTGTAAATTTAATTTCACAGCTTAATTAAAAGAAACGCTCATTTGACAGACTCCCATGTATAATTTTCCCATTACATCCGACAGCAATCTTAAGAAATATATAAATCACAGAATCGACGAGTAATCCAACGGAAAAACTAGACATAATGACTCTAAATGTTAACTCAATTTGTAGATAGGCATTCGAAAAGTAAAAATTAGTTAATAGAATTTTGATAGCATCTAAGGAGTGAATAATTTCGGCATAAATTCAGCGGGAATGAGCTGTTTAGGCCATCATGTAGGAATTGGTTATTCTAAATGGGTGAAACGATGCTCACTGCCGTGGAAAACGTGTCATTTTGATGAAGATTAAAGAGCCTCGATTCCGATTGATTAACTTGGGTTTATTTCACAACTTGTTCGATGATAAATATAATGAATTCGGCTAATGTTCCACTAATGTTCGCTCTTTCATAGCATGATGTATTACACTTAGATCAACTTGTTAGGTCACCCCCTAGCAAACAATAGCGAAACAGTTACATTTTCAAATGCCAATTACGTCAAAAAGTAATCGCAATATCACAAAATAAATTACACACAAACAAAATGAACATTCTAGATTTTATAAATATAACAAAAATTGAACTACTTTATTCAAATTATTTTGAGAAATTCGAGAAAATAGAAGTCGTCTGCTAATGTGCGACGAGGGTGATGGGGCTGTGGGGTGTGAGAAAGACAAGAAAACATCCATGTTCTACATTCACTGTGAGTCAATAATAAAACTAGCCAGCCAGAAATAAAGTGTTTTAGATTCTTTAACAATCCAGTCATTATTTTACAATTTGACGACACCTCATCAAGACAATCAATGAGGGAATAAAGATACTGTATAATACGTACTTAAGAAAAAGTCGTGTGGAATGCATAACAAAAGACAGGTATTTTACTTGTTTATATATTTTTGTGTATTGCATAGCAAGGTCATACAGTAAAACCTGTCTTAGTGAACACCTCTCTCTAGTGAACACCTGTCCCTAGTGGACACCCTTCCTACGCACATAGTCCACTGACTTCTGTATAAATTACCCTCTCTCTAGTGAACACCTACCTACAGTGAACGTTTTTTCTTGGCAAAAAAATGTTCACTATACACAAGTTTTACTGTATTGTCAACAAGGATCCCCAAAACATAAGAGTACAAACCCGTGAAAGGTATAAGACACGAGTACAAACTTGAAGAAAGGCAAAATCATAGCATACAGGAAATTCAGGAACTTCTAACAGAACATACTTTTCAAGAGGTGTTTCTCAGTCAGGGGGTCAGGATTCAACCTATAGTAGAGGTTTTTAGTGAATAAAAGAGTCTTCTTCCCTTAGAAAACAAACAATTTGTGAAAAGATGTAAAATCATGACTGAGGATGGTAGCAACACAATCACAAGCAATTTGTGATTGGCTACTGAACATCACATGACCTTACCAAAACAAAACAAGAACATAAATAAGAAAAAAATCTTTCCTGCATTTAGAAAATATTTTCCCATTGAGTGTCAGAGAGGATCATTAAAATATATATTTCAGACTTGAATAATTACGAGCACATCATCCTGTGGTGAAACTTGTAATAGAAGTTGTAGTTTGCTGAAGTTTATGATAAATGAGGGGATGCCTGTTTTACTAATCAAAACACAATTTGTTGTTGCCACGTCCAACCTAGGATTAGGGTGAATAAACTTAATCATATTCACATCTTCAAAACTTTTTTGGATTAATACATGATGAACATGTTACAATTTATATTATATTAAAGAGCTTTTATGATATCTGCTTTTATGAGGAATGTTGAGCATTCACATTTCTCGTCTTATAAAGGAAAATAGAGTAGGAAAGAGGGGAACTATTATTTACGAATTGCCGTTTGACTCTAATTTTCTCTGAAGAATTTGAATGAAGTATATGATTTTCTTGTATTTCTATACAATTTGGACTAATAACTACATCTCTAACTATTTTATTTCTTGCAGATTCTACTATTTTCCTCTCTATTTTACATTTTAAAACATGGGCATCGTGACATTTATTTATGACCCAACCGTCAGCTCAACAGAAGGTTACTTATTAAAAACACCAGGATTCATCAATTGACAAAATTGAACACTCCGCTCATGTAGAGTTCCCATTGACCACACACTTAAAACTTTTGTTCAAAAATGTTACATTACTGACAAAAACAAGATAAATTATACCATAACTTACTAAGTGGCATTTTTACGAAATATAAAAAGCATGTTTTTTTGTATACCATGAGATATAATATGATATTACGGGCCTTTTGTGAATCACAATGATGAACGATGGAGTTAATAGAAAGTATTAAACGTTTTGTGATTATAATTTGTAATTTGAAGACAGGAACAGTTGATCATTAAGTGACTGTATCAGTATCTATTACAGTATGTAACAAAAAAGTGCAACATTCAGTGTTTTTTATGTAAAATTGCCTCAGTTGTGATTTTGCATCTATTTTAAATCTTAAGATCTTTAGCTAACAATATTTGAATAAATACATGTTCATTTGTTCAAAATATTTCTCTGTTGTATAACATGGAAAGTTAAAAATGGTATTTTAAAAAACTTACAGATTTTGCATCTATTCTAACCCCTTTTGTCCCAGCGATTAGTTTCACGACATCCATCTTGCCATGCTTGGCTGCCCAATGTAGTGCAGTCTGGAAAATAAAGGGTTAAAATGTAGCTATAAACATAGGCAGCAACAATTTTATAAAGGAATCTCCCAAGATCAAGTATGCATTTGTTGTTCAGGTTTGAAAAATGAATGGAGTAGGTAAGAGGGACAGAGGGGGGGGGGGGGGTCAGTCAATGGACACAGGGGTGTTTGGGCGGAATGAAGAAACATTAAGTCTAATGAAGCATCATAGATATTATATAAATAACATAATTATGCATTGACTTAAACTATATTCTGTATAGAACAGATACATTTCCAAGTAGGAATAATCGCTTGCATGAGCTATCACAAAAATAACTGTTTATGTTAACACAAAATTAAGACATCAGATGCTAATTTGAACCTCCAACCTTCATTTACATAATCTAATTCTACAACAATCAAAATATAATCCAATTAAGGAAAAACAATATGACGCTCACTACATTCTGCAAGATCAAAGCTTCATCATATGTTAATACAGCTTCTTAAAAAACAATTACTGATGCAACTTTACACAGTAAAACTGCAGTATCGTTGTTCAAAATTTAAAACAGATTTCCAAAGGATTATCAAGAAAAGAGAATTGTACAAAGGCACATTGGATATGAATATAGTTTCAAGCCACTCTTCATTATAATCTTCATGAATTAATTAACAAAACAATAATTGAATAAAGAAATTAAACATAATCTGTTTAAAGAGGACGGAAGTTATTTCAAATCCTGTAAAAAGTGAAAAATTGAAAATATAGCCTTGATAATTCCTATATCATAAAATCCGTGCTCAATTGTCACAGATTTCCAATTTACGTTACAAATAGAAAGGCCGAGACTCTCTAGACCACAAAGGCAATCAAGTGGTTACAAAAAAGCAACATAACCTAAAACAATGGCATCATGACTCAAACAATGTAAACCGTTTGAAAAAAATCAAAATGATGAGTTTTCTTCAGAACATGTGTACGCAAGTATGCTATTAATTTTAATCAGTTCTCAATTACATTAGAACAACAATGTATAAAACTTAAGTGGTGACAAGTCGGAACCACATATGTGACATAATCATGCTTTAATCTAAAGTTTTTGATAAATTAATTAATGTTGCGGCTTCAAGGTAATGTCCTTCTACTTGACTCTAATAAGGCAAACTATGTAAGAGATGAGATATGTTTTGTTCTAACATGTACCGACATTTGTATCCCACATGGTATACCACTAAAAACTATCGAGCTGGAAGCGGGATATAATGGTGGACTGATGGGCGGCATATATAGGGGAACGAATCAGGCTGAAACCATGAATTCAACTTTGGAGGGCTTTGCGCTTAGGTTATTTGTTCAAAAATCTTAAATTTAACAATGTTAATTCAAGGTTATTGAATATTCCTTACTTTTATTACAGAACTAAGGCTTTTGCTGCCTGTCACATCTAGCAACTCGGGAAACCTTGTCTACAATTCGTCTCCAACCCAATCAGAAGTTTCCAATTTGAATGACATTGCATATTAATTCTCAAGTTTTGGAACATATATTCATATATACGTTAAAAACAATTCTCAATCAGGTATAAAGAGTAGTTTCTTTTCAATTCATATATTCCCATGATCTCATGTACTAATTTTGAACTTTCAAAATCTGTTTGTACATCATTTTTCTAAAATGAAGAAGATAGTAATTTGCCTTGTTTAGATTTATCTATTCATCAAGTGATAAATATATTATGTCAAATGAAGCCCTTGCTAACAAAGACTGCAAACTTCGCATACTCTGTATGATTAAATAGAGACACGCCATTTCAATGTTCAAGCAAACATATGTTCGAGTGACAGAACAAGAACAACGACCTGGTCATTATACCAAAGAGAGTTACAAATGCTGCTCATCAGAAAAGTGACATGATATTAGCTAGCATGGAATGACATTTTTCAAATATGAACCCGAGAAAAAAAAATTTGCAAAATTTTACCAATCCAAAAAGTTTATACCTGTACAATATATAAAAACCATACTATTTCCTGGACATTAACTGAAACAGGAAATGGACTCTGAATGGGTATGAACACAAATACAAAAAAGGTATAGAAAAATGAATGCTCATTCCATTTATATATAAAAATTATAATTATAAAAAATATAAAACAAAAGAACTAATTTCTAAAAACTCATGATGCTTTCTCTAACCACATTAAATCCCATATTTTAAACTATTGTATCTCATTAGTGTTAATTTATTGGGCAGTGACATACCGCAATATAGTATTCTACTGCATTAACAATCACAACGCATTATCAGATATACACTATATATCACAATAGGTTCTATGATGTCACTATTAAATATTTATTTGCCATTAATTTGTGAAAATTATGGAATTTTATACATATGTCAAGTGTTCTCCACAGTTTTTTTTCTCAAGTGGGATTCTCATTTTCACAATTCAGACCAAAATTAGTCAAAAATACCTACTTTCTATGATTTTTCTCATTTACAAGTGGGTGCAAATGAATTCTCAGGTGGGTGCAGTTATGTTTTTAAATCTCAGGTGGGTGTTGTGCCCACTTGCTTTAATGCCAAGGAGATCATGAATATCCTTCATAACAACTCATATTCTTCTTCATGGTGATTTACTTCAATATTTTATTAATTAATTGTCCAAAGATCATCTAACATTAAAAATAAATTAACAAGGAAAAATATTTTTGTATAAATTATCCTATAAATTAAGGCAGGTAGAAAGGAATAGGTAATCTGACTTACTAGCATGTCACAATTCCTCAATGGCTACCTTAATGGTCTTTCTTATTAAGAAAGTAAAAACCACAATGATATATGAATTAACTCAAAAATGATATTTCACAGTATTACCTCTGACATGTGACACTTTTATATTTTTTAACCAACAATGAGTTGGAGGAAACGATTTAACTTAGATAATTATATGTTTGTAAATATATATGCTTCTTAAATTAACCAAATGCCAAGGAGGATTCATAACGTGATGTATGGCCGGGTGATTTATACGTGATCAGCAGATGACATCTTTTGGAGAAAATGAAAATTTTGATTAAAGCATTCAAAATCTGCACCAGCCTTTAAGTCATTTTTGAATCATTTTAACACTCGGTTAGTCTATTATCTGTGGTTTAACACTAAAATTGCCTTAAATGTATACGGAGTCTTACTTGTAAAATATTGTCTGTTTTGGGGACATTAGCTATCATCTATATTACCAGGATTTTAATAGGCAAATGATAGGTGGTATTGACAGTTTGAGGAACTGTATAATGAAATAGCCTACACAACAGAGGGACATACATATACAGAAAAACTAGTGCGTGTGAATACCTCTTTTAAGAACACATCTGCCAGTTCCATGAAGACCCATTCGACTCCTGATTTATCACATGTTAAAAGGTCACTGGTGTTTGTGTAGTGGGGGTTAAAAGGCCCATTATAAACAGTTATATTCTTTTTTCTAACTGTTAAATACATTTTCCACCTTTTGGCGACTGTATTCACAATTTAAGCCTCAGTCACATTTGCTCTAAGGCAACCATATGGTGGCTGTAGCTTCACAAAATTGATATAGGAAATCTACATTGTACTGCTTATCAATATATTTTAGACACAAAATTTTCACAAAATTGATATAGGAAATCTACATTGTACTGCTTATCCCTATATTTCATGCTGTTTATTTCTCTCGAGTTTGGGAGCTACGACTGCTACACGGTTGCCATAGATCAAATGTGAATAAGGCATTGGTTGGTCGCTTTAGACAGGTTTGACTGCATGTGATTTTTAATTGATAACTCCTTGTAGATATTTGATGATAAGATGTCTACAATGTCAACTAGAAAACTCAAAAATAAATCATTAACATTTTAAATGTTATCATTTACATAGAAAATACTATTTACGATGATTAATTATATAGTTTTTCTTCGATTAGGGCCTGATCTCTATGCTAAACATACTATAAATATATGCCTTGGGTTAATGAGGATAATGACCACCCCTTTGAAAGAACATCCAAGATATATATTTAAACTGAATCAAACAAATCAATGTTATGTTCTACTGGCTCCTATGCAGCCATATCTTTAAAAGTAATAGCTCTATATGTTTTGTTAACAAAAACTTTTGAGCACAATAAACTTTGTTTTCTTATAAAAAACACATGAAATCTATACAAAAATTCATGCTAAGTTTTGTAAAAGGACATCGAGGGTGAAAAAGGTCAGAAAATAATCACATTAAAATCATTAACTATTCTAATTGATAACCATCAACATGGCTATAACTTATGATAAACTTGATCAGCAGTCAGATTTTTCAGTGTAAATTTTGCTTTTAGGCAACTCTGTAAATGACCTGGTCAAGAAAAACCCCTGAAACTTTCAAAAAGATACAATCATGTCCTAACATAAAGTAAATGAAGACATCATAGACATTAACAAGACTGAACCAGTTTCACCTGCTCACTGTTTTGTATGAGAAATACAAGGTCGATCTGAGATTATAAAGAGAAATATAAAGGGAAAGGGTGGGGCTTAGTCAGCGTTGTATCTTACTACTGTAAATCACATTAAATTTGCGGCTAAATTTTTCTTCTTGCATATTTTTGTTTTTGCAATATTTGCAAATACCTCAATTTGTGCCAGGTGTCCAATTATATATTCCCGCCATCCTGAATTCGCAATTTCACACTCACTTGGATATACACAAATTCAAGGTATACATGATGTCAAGACATGCTTTACAGTATTATCATTAAAAAATAGATCTAAAGATTTCCTAAAGATATTCTGGTGTATATATTACTATAATTTAACTTCATAAAATTTTATTTTTCTGGGTGAAATAGCAACATCACAGATCTCCATATTCATTCACCTAAGAGCCCATGGTCTCCTAAAGGAGCAATACTCCAGACCCCCAACAGACAACTAAGTCTGCAACATTTTGCCACCATGATATCCTGTTCTGCATGATAAGT